CCAAAGCTGGGTAAACTAACACAATCTCCATGCTCGACAGACAGACAGACAGACAGACAGACAGACAGACAGACAGACAGACAGACAGACAACAAGCAGCCACAGTTTTGAGGATTGTGCAAGATGCGTTAAAATGGGACTTCTCTCTGCATTTTTAAAGCTGCTAAGAATGAATTAATTACAAGTCCCAATTCATCAACAAAATGAATAATAATTACAGTCTGCATGAAAGGGTTGATGTTTCATGAAAAATGATGCACCAAAACATCAGAGGTTAGATGTCCAGCTAAAATTAGAGGGAAAAAGGTTGTTTTTCATAATTTTTCAATACTTTTATGAACCTCAATACAGATACAATCAAATTAAAAGTATATTTATGGCTTTTTGGGACTTTGAAAAACCCTAAACAGTTGAACTACTGGTAATAATCTTTTTAGAGAATAAAGCTGTGACTTCAGGGGAAATTCCTCGCACACGTTGCTCCTCCATCTTCATTTTTCTCGCCTTTATCTTCTTCCTCCTTTCATCCCCTTTGTCTTTCCTACCTTTTCTTCTCCTTTCAGTATCCTTCCTACTTTCCTTCAACCATCTCTAACCGTTGTTCTCTTCTCTCTCTCTCTCTGGCTCTCTCTGGCTCTCTCTCGCGCTCCTCCAGTGGTGGGATTTCTACTAACCTGCAGGACAAGAGGAAGAAGTGCCAGAACAAGAGAAAGAACCAGATCACAGACTCTTCTCAGCTAAAAGACTTCCCCTGCAAGAGGTTCAGACAGGTCAGTTCACCTACAGACAGGAAGCGGCTCAGAGGAACCTGTGAGCTGTGCTGCAATCAGATCAAATCAGATTTAACTCAGACAAGGTCCAGACTGACAAAATATATTCAGCCTCTTAAAAATATGACATTGAAGACTTTTCTGTAGGTTTTTGGTAGTCGGTTATTTGAAATATGGAGTAGTGTGATTGAAGAAAACTACTCATTACTGCATCCCCTGAACATTGCCTGTCAATCAAACAGAGCGGGTGATGGTTTTTTTTTTCTGTAGATGGAACACTTTTTAAATTCATGGTGACTCCTGATAAACAGACGTGTCTTCCTGTGTAACAACAGATATTTTCTTGGAAACTACCTGGTGTGTTTTGTTTTTTTTTGTTCTTCCGAGAAAAGAGTTCTCCTGGAAAAGACCAACCTGATTTTCCTAGAACAGCAGTGGAAGACGCATGAACAATTTGTCTGTGGCTTTGTACCTGAAATGATCCAATCACTTCTGTGATGCCTGAAGACATAGCCATCTTAACTCAAACCCTAATGACGCCAATTCATTAATTATTTATGAATTATTCAGAAGTCCTCAGTGCCATGCTAGGAAGAAAGGGGGGGAAAAAACAGCTGCCCTCCTGGTACGGTGGAGATTGCCACATTCATCAATTGGCTGTAGGTTGAATCAACATTGTTTGTCATGAAAACGGTTTGGAGATTTGCTTAAAAGACCGAAGCTGAAGTTGTTACGAAGAATACAGTCAGAAGGGAAAATGTGTGCCCACATTGCTTCTGCTTCTTTCCATAAAACCTAAAATAATGCAACTTGTTCCCACATCTTAATGACTTTTAAAGCTGCAGGAATCAATATACTTGTATGAACATCGGATCAAATTACTATGTAAAATATGAAAGGGGGTCCCTCGTCGTGATGAACACACAGAGGATTATCACCTGACTCTGCAGTTCCCCTCAGCTTTATAGAGCCTTTTAGTGTTTCTCAGCTCATTGGTTTGGTTTTTACGGCCGTAACTTTATGGTTTTGGGTTCAGTCTCTTTGCTCTCATCAGCGTTTTCAGACGTAGCAGCTTTTTTAAGTGAAAGCTCCTGAATCTGACTCCTGAAGTTAGCGACTAGCTGGTGAACACAGTGGAGTATTCACCATCGTTGGTGGAGACAGACACAGAGCTGGAGTGAATAGTGGGCATCAGGTAGACAGAAACAGGACTCCAAATGAATAATGGTGTTCCTCCATTTCTTGTGGATGTGTAGATGGTGTGTAATGTCAGTCATGTGTGCAGTTGTTGTGGAGTTCTGCACCAAGACACCAAAAGGAAAAAAGGAGTCAATGGCGTCTTACATCTAATTACTGATTTATCTTTTTTAGAGTTTAATAATTAATGATGTCACATTAAAAAAAGTTTCCTGGTTTAAATTGACCTTAAATTCAACACCATGTACTGCTGTTTGTGTTTATTTCTTATCATGCAGGATTTTGTAGGAAATGACTCATTTGCTGCATGTTTAGCATTTTTTAATTATGTTTTGACATTTTATATTTGAATACAGTCAAAGCACAAGAGATGAACAGTTACCAGGTTTCTATTCCAGCTCACTGAGCTTTTGCAGGTGAGGATCATTTAAGCTCATCATGTTCTTAATTATAATGTTGGCAACAGAAGACACAGAATTAAAGGGAGGCAGTTACTCATATACTAATTACACTTGTAAAGTCTTCATGTCCTGGGTGGGAAATGAAACACCAGACACATGCTGGTGAATTAGTCCTCTCCATCAGCTGCTCACTGTTGGTTTTCAGCCAGAGAAGCTGAGTGCTTTCACCAGCTGCAGCCAAAATGTACCTTTGGCTGCTTCAGAGTATCTCTGAGTATTGTTATTCATGTTATTGTTGTTGGTTTTTTTACAGGGAACATGCACCCACGGAGACAAATGCTGTTACTCCCACGACCTGCAGCAGACAAATGACCAGAAAATGGAATGATTCGAAGTTTTGTTCTTTTTTAAAAATTTTATTTTATTTCTGGACTTTGAATGGCCGAATGCAGCCTGGACGAAGTGAGAATGACGCACTGCAGTCAGATTGTATTTGGAAGAGGACAGAATATGCAGAACAAGTTTGTTATTCAGTTTTATGCCAGAACTTTTTTTGTTTTAGGTTCTTATTTTATGCAAATGTTGTTTCAGTCCATTAAAGTCCTCACGCTGACTCTACTCACTCTGCTGTCTGTTTACACATGGTGTGGGTGGGTGTTGGGTTTAACCACCACGGCATGTTACTGTGACTGTGTGTCAGTCTTATCAAAACTTTGTCTACATTTAAGCTTTAGTAGCTTAAAGGTCACTGACTCACTGTTTCAATTCTGAATTTAAGTTGCAAAGCTGTAAATCAACAGACTGCAGTTATAGCTTTAACTGTTCAGGATGAATAACTAAGAACTGCATCCAAATGTACCCCAGCATGCATTTAACTTTAAGAGGCAGCAGAAGAATTCTGCCTATGGGGCACATGATAGTTCACCATGTAGAGTCCTTACTGCAGCGGATTCCAACCTGCGG